CCCGAACAAATTATCTACACTGCAGAGATTAACATGAACAGACATTTTAGTAGACACATTATTAAATTGAATAGTCCTTGCAAATGTTTCACAATTAAAGTCTACTGCAAAAGTAAGGAATTACAATTTTTAACTTGCTTTAAGGCTTTTAATGTGAAACATCTGCGAGTGGTGACATAGTACGAAATGACCAAGTTTGTTGGGCTGACAGAATTAGTGCAGTAGAAGACACTTCATGTTGAATTAAAGAAAAGAGGAAGTGAAGGAAGTGACGCAGGCAACACTACTAACATCAAATGAAAACAGAAACAGAAAACAGGGAGATGTCTCAATGAAGAATGATGCTTGCAAAGTGTTTGTGAAATAAGGCAGTTTCAAATAAAGGGCTGGTTGCTCTTAAAGTCGAGGTATAGGAAGGGATCATCTACTTTTCTCTTAGTTCTGATTAAGATGAAAAGGCCCATCACATAGTTCTCTTTCCAGCAAAAAATGTAAAGAGAAATTCAACGTAGTAATCTGAATGTCCTGAATTAAATCAATGACTCCTTCTTGGTGCTGAGAAATAAACACCATCGCCTTAACAACACCCTTATCACTGATCGAGCATTACTCGCTCAAGGAACAAATAAAACTCGATCAGCAGGAGGTTCTTTCCCTGATGACAAAGTCATAGTGAGTTTGTGGTGGTGAAACGGGCCTCTGCATGAAAGGCCTGACTATGCTACGTCACCCATCTTCTGCAATACATTTCTACGCAGACACAGAAGACGAAATAGGCCAGAACGTCAATCAGAGTCAAATGCAGACTAATCAATAATTTCTGGTTCGCAGCCATATCCTGGTTGCCTCTGCATTGGCTATACTTGGCTGGGCACATTAGAGTGAGTGATTATGGTCATTTGTGCCGAGGGAACAGTGACTGCAGTTGGAATATTCATAGCTCATACTAAATTGAGCATGAATGATTAAAGAGGTGTCTTGGCATGACGAGAAAGTGACAAGAATAGACAAAAGCAAACTAAAATTAGGGTTTGTGCATAGCGGATATTTTGCTACAATCTTATATTATATATATATTTAATTTGGGGTATATGTTGGCAGATGAGCAGAAGATTGGCTGCATTTACTTTACTCCATTTGACCCAACAACTTCAAATGACTCATCTATTCTGTTCAATGTTTGGGTTTAAAGGACAAATGAATTACCCCGATTGTTCACGTCTAACTTCCACTTTGATTCCCTCAAAGTTTCAGTGTTTTTACACTAACTAACGCTGCCGGACTAGTGAGAACTGTGTCTTAACAGACTCATACTACTAAACTGTTTGTGAATATGAAATACTTTGGGTACAAAATATTCAGCTGCAGCAACTCGTCTTCACTAATTTATTGTTTTTTGAACATAGGAAAAGATGGAGAACGTCACTTGTATGTTTGAGTTACATGTGTTGTGAACGACGCACTGCTGGAGTTCTCTTACTGCCTTGCGATAATGTATGTTGTGAGTAGGTGCTATATAAATAAAACTGAAATTGAATAGAATTTAAAACGTATGACATTGATTATTATTTCATTGCATTTACTATCAAGGCCATAAACAGAGAAAAGATGAGGTCATTACATTTTGTATCCCGAACAATTGGCTGACCTTCTGGGCCGGGGTCAGCCAAACTATCGCAGCCTTCCTTCCATGGCTGCAGGGCAGCAGTTGTGGTGTCAGCACTCCCGCTTGGGTCCAGGCTAAACATGTGGTTGGCCCATGCTTTCGCATTGGGGTTGAGGTCTGAAACCTTGGCGGATTCCTGTGAAGAGACCACAGAAGTTGGTCAGTTGTCCATTTAAGCCAATGTGTAGCTGTTCTTCAAAAGCATTTATCAACTCATTGTACATTACACTGATCACAATGTTTACATCATCTAGACTGTGGCGACCCACCGTATTAGATTGTTTCATAATGAACCAAAAACCTTTTTACACTTGTCATAAAAACATAACATATCTATAACTTGGTGTTTTGCTCCAATGCTGCATTCTATAGGTGTGTCCAGTGCTATATGGATTGTTTTTACTGTAATGATGTAACATGGAGCATCAGTTTACATCTTCAGATCATTGTCTCTCAACGATTCCTAGGAGGGGATCAAAAATACTCAACATATTCATACGAGAATTAAAATACATGAAATATGAATCCATTTGTCAGTAAAGACAATATTCTAACAGTATTAGAACTGATGTAACATAACCACTGAGTATGAAATAAATATATACATGTCCGAGAAATCCATAGTCCCCCTCCCCTTAATGTTGGCAGATGATCCAGGAGACCAGGTAGTGGTATGATGTGGCATCATAATTTTACAGCAAAGGAACTACACTTAAATCACATGTCTGTGACAGTCAATCACCAGGAAAACAAAACTGAAAGTTTAAAATAAAATATTTGTGAATAAGGTTGGTGAATATAACAATAGCAATGTTCCAAGTGACTGGGGAACACACATTTGAATCCAGACTGGGGTAAAGGAAGACTTTACCACATTTCTGGATTGAGAAATCCTTTGACAGACAATCACACGATCAATGATATTACTGCTTCAACTGCTTCCTCAGTCCAACAAAATCTGACAGGAACTAAAATACCGGTACAATCTGACGGGGACCAGGCCTACTCACCCTGGCTGCCTGCTGGGCATACTCACAGAATCAAAGCAGCAGTTCAGCATGCATGTCTCACAAGCTAACAGACTGTAACCCAGAGCCGTGGTGAGAGCCAGCGTTTCATTTAAGTCCTGAGGCAAAACGGGCCAGGCGCTTCCTGCCGCTGGTGGTATAAGACTCAGCTGCATCCAATCCATGATTAACACAAATAAACTGAGTCTAAGTATCTTCACAGGCAGACAGACGAAGACTCCAGACCAGCATTGTGTGCCTTAAGCCATAACCGGGCTCCTTCAAGTGAAGCAGCCACCAGCACACCTCTGCAAGTCACCCCCCGTCAAATCACAGCCACACTCTGTCTGGCTCCTGAGATCCAAGCGGCTCGGTTGATTCAACAAATCTGATGACAGCACTGAGGCTCCGTTGCCTGGCTGGGCTAAGCTGACGTTGCAGACGCTGACTGGCTCTCTTGCTGCTGATAAACATAATTCTCTGTTTTTGCTTTGTCGCTGTTGCAGTGAGTCATTCTCCAGTGAAACACTGGAGCTGACGAGGGAGTGTTAAGTTGCACACCTGAGCTCAAACGACGCCTGCTCCGGTGATCCACGCGCTAAATCAACCCTGAGGCATCACTCAAATTAAATCGGCCCCACATGAGCCTTGGATTTAGTAGATTATTCTGCCAACGAGCAGAGTTTCTGTAAAAAAAGAATTAAACCTGCTTCTTATTCAGGAAGCTGCAAAAAAATCAGTAATGGAAACAAAAGAAGAAATAAAGAGATTCAAGGAGTGAGGACAGAGAGGTAAGCCCGACTTGATACAAGACCGCCATCACAAAACTGCGTTCCTGGGTCGTATTTCACAAACGCTGCGCTAAAAGATCATTTGGGATGTGTCTAGCCAGACAGACACACGCCCCCACCTGTGCCAATAATCCAGCCCTGCACTAAAGTAAAACTCCCACTCCAGCCCGACTGGCTGCCATAGAAACCGCTGCTGACATCACCGGATGTGTACGTTGTGGGCACCGCTTGACCTTTCAAAAAATTTTAAATGTTCCCTTCCTTCACAAAGGAGGAAAAGGTTAGCTGCCTCCCTGATTGAGGGTGTATTTTGGGAGGAGACGAGAGGATGTGATTCATCATGAACCGTGGACAGAGACGAGTTATTGTTAGTGTCACCAGAGGGCAGCCGGTGTAGCACTGGGTTTATTGCTGCGCATCTCGGATGAAGGCGAGCTTGCAGCCGCAGACAGGAAGACAGAGACAGCAGAGTCCTTCAGGGGAGAAAACAAAACAGCTGAATTTGGACTTATCCATCTGTCTGCAGACCTGAGGCTCATCATCCCCGTCTGACAGCCACAGAGCTGCAGGAGACAATGAGCTAGATGAGTGCTGAGCATTCAGGAGTCAAATGCATCACAACTGCTGTAACGTGCTTCATCCTGAGCACAAATTACTACGCAGCTCTTTTAATATGACATGAGCACATCAGATTCAAGGCTGTTAGACATTTCCAATTCAGTTTTCCCCCGTAGCTGCTTTCAGACATGCACTGAAGTCCAGACATTTTACTGAAATTATCCCGAGTATGTGAGAATGCAAATGTGTGAGTCAATTGCTTCAGGCATTTTCTTGAATTTTCCTGCCAACCTCCTGTTAAAATGTCAGGGAAATGTCCATGTGAGAACATTTCGGCGCTGATGAAGACGTCAACTTGGAAAGATGACGAGATTCAAGCTTTTAGTGATTAAAGGGAAATAATATTCTCCAAGTTGCAGGGATGATTTTCTTTCCACGGTGGAAGTTATACATAAATATATCTTGCCTCCTGCTGCTCTTCACAATCACCAACCCTCGCCTTACTGTTTTAAAATGTCCTGTTGTTGTGAACGCATCTGAACTGGAAATTCTCCTGCTACATTTTAATGTGAAAAACAACATTCATGTCTGAAAACAGTATTGGTGAGCAGCATTCAAACCCAATGTTTCATTTTTGTGACCTGGACTAACAACCACTTTGCACGCAGCATTAAAACAGAGGGGGGGGTGAAATCTTGGCATTATGTGAGAGTTAAAATACTAATTTAGGGCAGATGTTGGTGAAAATAGCGCGGGGGGAAATACAACATAATATTACTATATATAATATTTTTATGGCAGTTTTTGGTCATTGACATATTTGTCCAGTAATAGCACCCGTTATAAAAAAGATATAGGATATAATATAAGGATATAAATAAGTCATGTTCAATTTGTGGTCTTTAACACATATGTGCAAAGCATATGTGTCTGTGTGTGTGTGTGTGTGTGTGTGTGAGAGAGAGTGCACGTAAATATGGAATGAGGTGGAAAACACAAGGGTTTGGTAGCACCACATGGCTTGTGTTACTATTGCACCAGTTTGTTTTGGATCTAAAGTACATTTTGATAACTTAAAATAATTAGATTTCCAGTCATCTGAATTATCTTGCTCATGACTCGATTATTTGAAAAAAAACATGACTCTATTTTCTTATTTCACTATTCCTATTTTTATTGTTTAGGTGAATTTATTCTGCCCTAGTTAAATACTGCAGAAATGAGCGTGGAGCCTTATCAATGGGTTCTTTTATCTAAATTCTGAGGAAATCACTTAACTCTCAAAGTCACTTCCCTGAGTCCAAAACTGTTTTACAGTTTTCATACATTTCCTCTTATTCATGATTTGGGCCAGGGTTCATTGTGAGGTCAACTGGCAGCAGCATGTGACTCATCTATAAACATAAAATGAGCGTTTACAAAGATAACCTGGACGGAACTTGTGCCTTTTATGACTTTTCAATGGAAACTGACTTTGCTCAAGAACCTTGACATCCTGAACTGTGCATATTCAACCCTGCAGGCAGCATTTTGGGTCCATGACCGCTTTTCCCACCACTAATCCCGGCCTGTAATGAGACCTACAGCCTAGGGCATTACCCCACTGGACTCCATCAAGGACGAGAATCTCCCCTTCCCCTTTGCTGCCAATCTTCTTTCCAATCTTGAGCATGCGTAAATGAGAGTGGAAAAAGACAGTGGGCTGTTTCCATTTGCTAATTTTAGAGTTCTCAGGAAAAATAACTTTTTCTTTGCCTGAAGGCCATCCACTTACTTCTTACCCATTTCCTTAGTTCCACATTCTTTCCTATTTAAAGAGGTTGATTGAAAGCCACCAGGGAAACATGACGACACTTCCCTGAGTTTGCTTAGTGACATATTCCCTGGGTTTCCTTTGCATTGAAGCAGCAGTTATGTTTCAACACACCGGGAGTATTAAGCTCAACTAAAAACACAGAGAAACGTGCTCTCTGATCCGAAGAATAATCATTTAAGGCACCGAAGCCTGCAGAGCGGGGAGTGATCTGGAATCTGAACAGGCCGTAGAGCTGGAGCCAAATATTGCTTAAGAGAAACTGATTTTCAATCCAAACCAAGACTTGTGACACAACCAGCCAAGAAAAGCTGCCACCCAGACACACAAACAGGACAGTGGTGGAAACACTGTTCTTACAGCACAACACAGCTGGGGGAGGCTTAGGGAGCCCCTATAATTCACCACCGACCTTCATTGTATTTTCCCTGCACCAGACATCCAAGGTGGGGGGCGGGGCTTTAGTCGTCACAACCAGGATTTACCAGTGTCTTGCTGAAAGATGGTGTAATATCCCACCATGGTGACCACATTTAGCCCTGACATTCTTTGCAAAACTCACATGTGCTAGCGTCAATCAGACCTGCAGGGCTGTGTAGCACCCTGGGCGAACCATACAGCCTGCAAATGAATATGTGCGACAGATCAAAATAATCACTAACTACATTATCCTGTGAAAAGGAACAGAAATACAGGTCTGTGACAGACGAGATGTTCAGATACTGATACCAGCATCAAAAATGCCTCGGAAGCTGCCGAAAATTCCGGGGATGGGCAGCGGCAAGCACACAAATCGATGTACCGACCCACTACTACGTCTTTTAAGTATATTAGTTTCACCGAGAAAAAAAACTACAATTTTCTTTTCCCATTTAACCTGAGCCAGGTCATGATAGCAATTCTCCCTTCGTACAGCAATCATGATCATTCAGTAAAACACAGAACCTGTCAGTGAGCCAGGTCTGAATAAAAGCCACACATTAGCATTGAGTGAATAATTTTACCCTGTTCAAAATTAGCAGCTTAATTTAGTCTAGCTGCTCAGGAAGTAAACGTCAGACACTTCCTCCGCACCTTGGTTTCTATTAAAACTGTTTATGTTGACCCATTCAAACTACTTCAGCCTCTGAGGTCAAGGTGGAGCGATGACTGATGACTACAAGCAGATATTGTTTGGTCTGCTTGATGGATGACAGCGAGGGCAGCACTAAAACATCGGCTCAGAGGGAACACGGGTCCTGAATGCATCCGTTCTAAAAATAGTTTCCAAAACATGAGTTACAGCTGGATGATTCCTCTGTGTTGATGAAAACTATCGACTTGGGTATAAGTTATGGCAAATCTCTGATTAACACCCACGGTGACCTTTTGTAGTTTCAGACGCACCAATCACAAACAAAGAAGATGGACTCACGTTAAATATGCTTCAGGTGCATTTCGTATGGATATGTTGACCTTTTTATGGTTTAGTTACTTTGCAAAATGAGAACAAAATTTAACTGGAAAAATAAATATTATATTGTTATAGATTAAACTAGTAAGTAAATTTTACTTGTCACTATTTCAACACAGTGAAAAGGCCACAATCTTTTTAATCATTTAAAACTTCTAATACTTTAATAAAGTTAAAAGACATAAAGGCTGATTGCATCAACATGTTAGTTATTTAAATGTCTCAACATCCCCATCAAAACTGAAAATGACAATTCGAGTGTGCGACTAAGACAAAATCACACACATTCAACAAAGGAGAAATAGAAGCATAAAGAGACAAAAAGCCAAGTGAACACCTGGAAGAAAGAGCTGCAAAAACACTTCAAACAACACCCACACCCTGGCTTAGCGTGATGATAGTAACCTAACATCTCATTTTTCAGTCACTTTCTGACGAGGCCTCGGTTTAAGCTCCAGCTTGTTTGGTAGACAGTGCGTAATGTCGTGTTGACACATCTCATCCATGGGAATCAATCATCAACTGATGCGCTACTGCACCCACGATGCACCGCTCTGTTTTCAGTCCTGGCTTTCATGCTCCAACAAGGAACAAAATGTCACATCTATGATCAATAGGGCCACTACAGGCTCATGAAAAGAGAGAAATAAAAACAGGTCATGCTTATTTAGTTACAAGAGCTGCCTCTCTGTTCCTTTACTTCTCTATTATACATAATCAGTGTGGGAAATCAAGTCCATTCAAAAGCAGGCTGTGACTTGGAGACTGCAAACACCCAGTCCCGACATAATATTAGCATTAAAACAAAATAAGGGGGACCACATCTAGGAGACACAATCTTGAGCTGTGGCAAGACATCTTAAAAAAAGGACAAAACTAGAATGTCAATCAGTACAGCCCATAACTGCACCAGAACCGACAGTCACCTGATATTCAATATGCCATATTTTACCATTTTCTAACATGCATAAGACTGGATCCTCATGTCAATACATCAAGATTATTAGACATTCAAGGCACAAAACTAAAACATGTCTGATTTGTGTAAAACTCACCAAATGGGAGTTCTCTTTTGCCTCTTGCACTTGCTGCACCTGTGGTTCAGCTACAACTTTCGTGTCCTGGTCAGAAGTCATGAGCCGTCTGCTTCTTGGCTCCTCAGGGAGAAGTCTCTGCGTCACCAAGTAAGCTACAGGGGGGCAGAGGGGACGAACAAGTTAGATTCAAGAGCAAATGTTTATCACAGAACTGTGGCATAATACCGGTTGTACCATGTGCAAAAAGAACAGGGGGCCGTGTCCGACAGATGGCTGAACTTTTAAACAAAGCACACAAACACCATCAATACAAATATTGTTTTACTTGTTGTCAATACATGTTGTACACAAGATAATATGTGGTGCGTTTATTTTGGATGTTTCATTCAGAGGCTGCTCTTCTGGTAAAATTAATTCCACTTTTCACCGATGTGACAATGAGATATGAAAAAAATGAATAAATCAACTGTCAACTGCTGCCAACCTGTAAGCTACGGAAAGAGAGGAGGGACATTAGTGTATAGGACGGATGTCTTGACAGACAGGTTTTACAGAGTTTAAAAGAAGGAACAGGAAAAGCCAAAGAACCACCTTGACTTATTACACATTTATTACACAATCCAACTGCTTTCTTGGTGACGTGGAAAATAAATGATACACAAATAAATGACACACACACACAAGGAAGGCTGAGCTCATGGCTTATATGTAGACCAACACGCATCAATATAAATAAATGTTGAACTTTAGGCTAGATACTAATTTGTCCACATGAGTGTTTCAGCTTCAGATCGGTTTGAATCCCCGTCTATACTAAATGCACTAATAACAAATCACGTGACCACTCAGGCACACCGGGCATGCGTGTGCCAGTGTACACGGATTGCTCGAATAGCAGCTTGTGTGTTCCACATGTAAACACAACAGCTGTTAGCAAAGACAACAGGGTCAGCAAAGCTTGTAATTGATTATCAGTGTTGCGTTCTACACTGGTAGTTGAGGCTATCCTGTGAGGGGAGTCTGACAAATCAAGGAAGGCTACGTCGTGATTGTAAAGACCCAATCGCCAAGTGGTTGAGTGTTTACCAAACATCCCCCTTTCTGTCCATCCAGAATAAAACACAGCCCAGAGGTTTCAAATCATTGAACATGAATCAGCGCTTCTCTGTTTAAATAGCTATAGAACATCTAGCGTGGACATCAGGCGTATCTGTAGCAGGGTTGACAATGTAGTAGTATGGATGTTGCCTTAGACTTTTTAAGAACCTATGGAGACTACATGTTGCAGCACTGGTGCGTGGATCAGGTTTCATCACTACTTCATCTCTCAGGCTGCAGTTTCAGCACCAGACATCCTAATGATTAATCACTTCCACTACATCTGACCTCAGCGCCACACGTTTGCAGGCAAGACAGGATGAGGATGCTCCACCGAGTGCAAACAACCACTGGCAACACCTTCTCTCCTGTCCCGATGGGGCTGTTTGTAAAGCAGCGATAATGCAAGCACAACAATCGCTGCCTGTCTCTGACAGTGGCCCTGTGTTTGCATACAAAGCAGAAAAAGAATGGCATGGCTGTAAAGCTGGTGACCTTTGATCCACATACTGATTCCCATACACGGCATGTGTGTGTGTGTGTGTGTGTGTGTGTGTGATGCAGATGTGATTAATGGGGCTAAATACAACTCTCCATTATTTCTACTCAGTCATCAAAACAGATGTTGTGTGATAAACTTCTCTGAACAGTTGACTTAAAACCTGTTCATCAGCTGAACTGTACACACCCATGGATCAGTTGATGATAGAAATACCAGGCTGAAGTGAAGCATTTAATCAAGTTTTCTGTGGTTATGCAGTAGCCTCATCGCAACTACTAATTATTTACATTGTGGGTAATTCTTACTTTTTCAGTTAAGCAATTTATCAACAGTGTCTATGAGACATTTAAAAGAATTACCAAACTCGACCTGACATCCTCAATGGTCATTTTGGTTTATACAATATCTATCTAATGTTTCTAATTATTCTGTGATTCTAATACAGAGAACCGTACCGTATTTGGTGCGAATTGGACATTCAATACAGTCAATATTAATAAACTTTGAATAAACTAGCAACTGTTGGCCTTTACTTGCCACAGCTCAATTACCACAGGTCAGTTTTACAGTTTAAGAAAGAAAGCTGTAACCTGCATCACCACAGGCAAAACAAAGAGACAACTCCAGACCGGCATCGAGTCCATTACAACTTTATTTGTGTGTCACATGAAACTAAATGAGCAACAGCCAAAAGCTATTTACTTTAAAACAATGTTGCTGTTGGTTTGTTAAGGGGTTAGATTCAAAAGTGAATTTTCAAAAATTAAGTATTAATGTATGTGTTTTAATCAAACGAGAAATAATAGAACCTCAGTAACGTCATAACTCTGCCCAGGGCCACCAGTCCTCTTAAATTCAATCAAATTTCACACACTCGTGAATATAAATCCAAAGAAATGTTCCAGATTTTTTCCATCCAGATCAAAAAGTCCCATCCTTCCACCAAGTTTCATGAAAATCTGTACAGTGGTTTTTGCATAATGATAAACAAACAAACCAACAGACAGGTGAAAACACTACCTCCCAGGCACAGGTAATATCCCCTGAAAAGGTGCCTGGTTGAGCTTTCTTGTCAACAAACAAGTTCTGTTTACATCCAGTGTAGAAAATCACAAGACTTTGTGTGTCCAGTGTTTCCCCAACAACTGTACAGACCAGGCCAGCGGGAGCCGCCACCAAAAAAAAAAAAAAACTGGGAATCTCCACTGATTGATTTCTAATGTTTGCGGTTCAGGATTTTTTTAGTTATGAAACAAATTACTGCTTGAATCTAAACAAGATTCTCTGAAAACTGTTGCTTCAAACTGGACAGATTACAGTTACATTCATAGACGTGTGCATGATTAACATGTGTTGTATTAAGTGCAGAGACTCAGCTGTGTCAAGTCAGCAACCATGAATATGTAAAAGAAGTAAATATATGACATGTACACAAACAATATCTTCGGTGTACTATAATTTTTGAATTGAATCAACAGGCAGCCAGTGTAAATAGAGCACACCTAATGTAAACACTACTAATACCTCAGGGAAACACAGTTTGCTGAGATTGTGACAGAGCTTTGGTCTTGTCAACAACTGCAGCTGGAATACACACAACACACAGACCAAAGCTGCGTGTGATGCTGCTTCACTTCTGAATACAGGTTTGGGATCGCCATTTCACTCAAATGTTTGTGTGTCTGTCTCTATGGCGGCCATTGTTAGACTGAACAGGCGAACATCCTCACGTGAAGTTGTGACAGACTCAGTTGGATGATATCCATGAGCTCCAACACACATGTAATGAGTGATTAAATCTAAATTTAACGATATCAGTCAAGTACAAATACAGTTATTCTAATCCGTTTGAGTATTGAAAACCATCTACCGTGCAGCAGAGTAAGTTTAGCAAGAATACAGTAACGTTCGTGTGAAGATTGTGCAATAGAGAGCAGAGGGCGATCACATGAGTCCTGACAAGGTTTGCAATGCGGTTTGACCCGGTTCATCCCATAAAGAGGCTGAACCCGGTCAGTGTGGGCACATTTCCGCTACAGATGCACTGAATCATAACATCCAGACAGGGCCTGGACCAAAACACACGCCTTCTTTCCACCCTGCACTATCACAAGAGGTGATTTACAACCCAAATGCCACTTTGTAGTTCGGAAATAACCCCGAGATTCAACCCCTCCGGTGAAAAATGCAACAGTGCGCCAACGAGTTTATTTTTGGTGACTAGCCTCCGCTGGTGGAGGATGGTCACCAGGCATCTTGCATGTCCCTGTCGGGAGGAGGGGTGAGCCAGTGTTTATCCCCAGCCAGGCCGGCTACAGCAGCGTGTCTGGGTCCACTTCACCACTCGCACTCTGCAACCACAACCAAAGACGCAATGCAGGCGTATTTAGTAGCTGACACAGCCGAGACAGGCTGCAGCTCACACATGCCATGCCCATGCCAAGGGCCGTGAGTGGGCTTCCCGAGAGCGAAGTGCAGGCTGGGTGAGGGTAATAAATGAGCCATAAAATGGAGGCTGCAAACACACCGGGATGACTCGTTCTAAAGTTGATTCGGTGTGGAAAGTAGCAGCCGTGTCTCGTTAGCTGGCTTGCAGAAGCATCCAGTGAAAGATGGCGACCTCCGGCGTGAATTCGCGGATTCCCCCCCTCCTCCCCTCCCTCCTCCCCTCTCCTCAACATTTCCGAACTGACTAATATCAAGTTAGCAGGCAGGCTAAGTGAACCTAGCTGTACAGAGCAGTGCTGCGGCGGCGTTTAACCGAGTGTTGGGTGCTTACTCACCTGTCACTTCTCACTGCGGGGCGATGCAAAGAGTTTGGCGGCGGTAGCAGCTGCTGGTGGCGCTGGACTGAGGCCTTGAACTGGCTTCCAGGCTAAATACGCAGGGTATTAGCTAGCAGGCTAAATCAAGCACGCTAGCAACAACCAACCGGCTTACCGCTCTGAACTACACCGCAAATACGCTTCAGAATCCCGGGTGAAACAGCCACGGCCGGTCGTAGGACGATGAAGAAAAAAAACGACGCCCCCCCTGTCGAAAAAGGACTTTACAAAGAAAATACAAAAACAAACAGAACAAAAAAAAAAAAAAAAAAAAAAAAAAAAAAAAGAATAAAAGCTGCTCCCCCCCGACCAGCACTGCAAGCTAGCTGAGACTTAGCTAGGTGGCTAGCTAGCTAGCTTGCCTATCAACTTCGTGCAGTCGGGCTCGATAAATCTGGCGCCTGGGGGTTTCACAGCGAAGTGCTCGCGGCGGACAGCGGTGCTCTGCGGGAGAGGGAGTCCGAAGAGCGGGGCGAGGGTCCCTGTGTGAAGCCGGAGAGAAGCCGCTGCTCGCCTCGGAGGTTCAGACGCTCGTTAGCTACAGACGACGCCAGGAATGGAGAAGTCGCTGTTTCCTTTCCCTTTCGAGTGAGGCGCAGAGCTCGTCAACACCGCGGGGATGAACCACTCTGAGGCACTGGCAGCTTTCACGACGCTCGGTGCTGATGGTAATGAAACCCCCGGTGAGAAGAGGAACAATTAAAATAACAACACACCGATGAACAGAGAGACTCGAGCTTTTTTAGAACACGAACGCTGCAAAGTTGCGCACGATCCCTGAACGTGACGTGAAAAGAAGCGAATATAAAAAGTTTTTTTTATTTGGAGATTCAAAGTACTCAAATAAATCTCAAAATACATTTATTATTATTCTCACTTTGTGTCCAGTCGAATATATTTATTTATATATATTATTATTTCTGTGGGCAAAAGAGATGAAGGATAAAATATTATTAACCTGTATCATTGTGTCTCCCTGTTGTGATTTTGAGTCTGTGGTCATTTTGTGTCTCTAGTCATTTTGTGTCTGTGGTCATTTTGTGTCTCTAGTCATTTTGTGACTCTAGTGATTTTGTGTCTGTTTATCATTTTGCGTCCTTCTCTCTGGTCCTTTTGTTTCCTTGCGGAATCTTATTGTGGTTGTTTTGTGTTTCTTAGTGTTGTGTTGCCGGTCGACCAGTCGAGTAATCCACGCATACACCAGTTATTGATTCACACACTGTACTTCTTCAGACATTATTACTAATAACTGTGTTGTTGTGTGTTACTAATGAATGGGGACAGGGCGGGACGGGCGTCAAAATAAAAATGTTATGGTGGAATATAAACTTGTGAAATGTAGATCTAGATGGAGTCTGGATATGAACCATTGGGTCCATGCTGAAGTTGTGCAGACGGACAGATGAGCAACTCTTTCTACAGGTGGAAGAAGTCCAGAGGAGCAGCGGAGTGAGACCTCTTCGTGTTCTTCCGCTCTCTGGTGCAGCACTGAGGCCGGAGCTGTCACACAGGACTCCAGCACCCGCCCCCCTCCCCCCCCTCTCAGCGGGCCTCCTGATTGGTCGAGACTCGCAGTGGGCGCACGCGGACCTACTCGTGATCGGGGGATGTGGGCGTGGTAAGGAGGAATCTGCGCCCGCTGATTGGCTCGTTCTACATCCCCGCGAATACCAATTAACATGGAGCAGAGTATTTCTTCTTCTCTGTTGTTGTGTTTGTTGTGTTTGTTTACTCTGTGACGTCAGTTGTTGTGACAGTAATCCACTATTAGTTCTTACACCTGAATAAACGTCACAAAACTCGTAAAGACAAAGAGAAAAAGAAAAGAGAGAAAGACGGAAAATGCCAGAGATGTGACTCTACTCCGCTGCTACTGCGCTTAAGTACAATTTTAAAGTACTTGTACTCAGAGCTGTGATCAGTTCTACTGCAAAATATGATGTTATTTGATTTCAAACACTGTCTGAGAACCAGAGCAGCCAAGCTCATCAATTATTCAGAAAAAACACCAGAAGTTTTATTTCAGATTCTCACACTAACCCTGTGACTCTGTGGAGGTTCGAACACCCTGATGGTGACTGGACTGAACCAGCTGACTTCACAAAGCAGGTTCAACTGGATGCATCCAGTCAGTTGTGTTGGTGTGAATTTCCTAATTCAAGTCAAATACATTTAAAGAAGTTATATTATATTATATTGTATCGTACTATCAATGTGTTGCTGGGGGAAAGTTCTCATGATAAAAAAAAATTCTGGTATATATCATCCAAGACGAGCAAAGACTCTTTTTTTATTGAATGTTGTATTTTTGATATTTAGATTTATATTTACTCTTTATTTCATTCTACACTTAAATGTGTCAAATCTGTCCCAATGATGATCAGTGAAGTTAAAAACATTTTAAAGCACAGCTTCTAATTTTTTTAAAATACAAAAAAAAGGATGTTTTACGTTTCATTTTGTTGAGTCATTATTTATTTCAACATCACCTCAGACCAGGTCCAGAACGAAAGACCACATAGACTTGTCGAATCTGGATTAGTCCCAAATGAGCCGACGTTTCTTCAAAACACAGATTTCACGATTGTGCAAAATGACACAAAAGGGCCATTTTCTTTATATGTTATTATGATGTAGTTTTTCAAAGCGACCAGGTTCATACGTTTTTTTATATTTTACATATTTACATGAGGACAACTGTAGTGCAGTTCATCCTCACCTTAGTCCTGAGGGTGGCGGTAATGCGCAGAAAGTATTTTTTGCAAACCACCATTAAACTAAAAGTAGAAGAAGAAGCGTCTTTTCCGGTTGAGGCGGAAGTGCCTCGGCTCTTCCTTTCCTGGTGCAGTCCGCGGACCTCAACGTGTCGCGACAAAATGGCACTGTACAATTTCAAGAAGATTATGGTGGTTCCCACCGCGAAGGTGAGTTCGGTTTCGTGTCCGCGAGGTTTTTTTAAAACTCTTCTTATTTTCCGCCTCTTTATTTGAGAGAAGGCGAAACGATGGGAACTAATAAAACATGGAGGGGTCCAGTTGGGGGAGAACACACGTGTTGTGCTGGTGTAAAAAACAGACAGCCGCAGGTCTCCGGTCAAACACGTCCGCCTGGCTCAGCTGGTTAAAAGATCAGATAACACAACACAAGGAAAGATGATTTAGTCCCAAAGTGGGGAAATATGCGACATTATGCCATAAGTGTAAAGATAATAATGCTCAAGTGTTAGAATACATAAACTAGAATATACAGTGTAAAGACACAAATACATGCTGTGTGAGAATATCAACACTCATGTTCAGTGAGTAGATTGTACATGAACTAACACGATGCACAGACAGAATGACTTCTGCACAGTTAAGAGAGTTGAACCAGAGTTAAAGTCCAGAGGGGGGGGGGCAGGTTGTCCATCAGAGCAGACAGGAAATTGGCTTGTTTATGTTCATTAAATGATAAGAAGCAGTTCCAGTGCATATCTGAATACATGTAACTGATGCTTGATATTTAAAATAGTTTTAACCAGAAATGTTATGGAGAATAATTTAAAAAACAAAGTATGAAGAACTTGATATAAGAAAATTCACCATAAGATTGAATGTAATCCTGAATATATCTATAGAGAATTCCTCTTCACTCCTCTGAAACCCTGACCTGTTTACTCTTCTCCTCCCTGCAGGAATTCATCGACATCACTTTATCCAAAACCCAAAGGAAGACGCCCACAGTGATACACAAGCATTACCAGATCCACCGTATCCGACACTTCTACATGCGAAAAGTGAAGTTTACTCAGCAGAGCTACCATGACCGCCTCTCGCAGATCCTCACCGACTTCCCCAAGCTGGACGTGAGTCAAAATACTTTTTTTTAGATTAACCTTTATTATTTATTTTTAATAACTTGTCTTCATCAGTTTAAAATTCTGAAATTTGTTGTTTTTGTTTCCTCAGGACATCCACCCGTTCTATGCTGATCTCATGAACGTGTTGTACGACAAAGACCATTACAAACTGGCCTTAGGACAGATCAACATCGCCAAGAATCTGATCGACAAGTAAGATTGGTTCAAATGTTTAATGCATCGCACTTCATTGCTTATTGTGGTGAACACACAAAAGCAAACTAAATCATACATTTAAATGCACGAAGCTGCACCAATTAACTGGCTCGTCCGACCGCCTGAATAGGAAAAGGCAGTTAATGCTTATTCAGGTGTCTTAAGTTTTCTTAATACACACAAATGTACACAAAACAAACTCTAGACATTACCAGTCGTTTGTTTTCAACCCTGCAGTGTTGCCAAAGACTATGTGCGTCTGATGAAGTATGGAGATTCTCTGTATCGATGTAAACAGCTGAAGAGAGCTGCTCTGGGTCGTATGTGCACCATCCTGAAAAGGCAGAAGTCAAGTCTGGAGTATCTGGAGCAGGGTAAGACCATTTGCTTTGTCTCATGTTTGAAATCCAGAATCTCTCTCCTTTCCAATTCAAATTTCGAGAATAAAGGAAAAACAAACATTTTGTTTGGAATAAGCAATGAAGAGAACCCGTGCTTTGTATTGACATTTGTGAAACTGTAACTAAAGTATACGAGGACTCCACATTCCTCTTGTAACGCAGCCGACAGACTGATCTTCAGATATTCCTCATCTAACCTATATTTATACTTTTCAGCTCAGATGTTGTTTTACTTTTATCTGTCATATAGAAATGAATAACTAACCCATGTTAATCTCCAACAGTGCGTCAGCATCTGTCCCGTTTGCCGACCATTGACCCCAACACGAGGACCCTGCTTCTGTGCGGTTACCCCAACGTCGGCAAGTCCAGTTTCATCAACAAGGTTAAATTACACCCTCCAATGTACCGATTGTGTGTCAAAGTTGTTGATAAGATGATCATTACTATGATGTTCAGGATACACCAGAATAATTTCATCAGATTCAGAGCCTCATTCTCGCGTTTTATTAAATGGTATAATTTTTTTGGCCAGGTAACCAGAGCAGATGTTGATGTCCAGCCTTATGCTTTCACCACCAAGTCTCTGTTTGTGGGTCACATGGACTACAGATACCTGCGCTGGCAGGTAAACCGTCACACATCACTCAGTACACAAATCTCTGGAAACAGTTTCTCATCTTTTACCTAAAGATTATTATTTATTTCTGGTCATATATAATTCACAGCCTCTTTTATAAAACTGTTTATTGTTAAAAACATGGCAAAAAAATATTTTTTATGGTTTGTCTAATTTATGTATCTAAAATACTCGCCTGCAAAAACTTGTGGCTTTAACATGTCAACAAAATTCAATATGAATTTTCCCACATGTGCATATTTAAGTATTAATTTCAGAAATCTGTGAAAGTTTTATGGTAAAATCTGTAAAAATGTGATGTGTGGCCTTACTATGCAGAAGTGTTTCCTTACTCTTCCACCCCGGTTGTTGTCATCAGGTGGTGGACACCCCTGGTATCCTGGACCACCCCCTGGAGGACAGGAACACAATTGAGATGCAGGCCATCACGGCTCTGGCTCACCTGCGAGCGGCGGTTCTTTACGTCATGGACATTTCCGAGCAGTGCGGTCACACCCTGCAGGAGCAGCTGGAGCTCTTTAACAGCATCCGACCCCTGTTCGCCAACAAGGTCAGTGGATAATAAGATTACATCTGCTCGTCCACAAGTGGAAGCCTTAGAGATAAACGCTGGAGCCACAGGGGGCTGCCAAAGCTGTATGACTCATAAACCCATTAGGACCTGAGGCGCAGGACATAAACCTCACCATTGTTCGGAGACCAACACCTAAAACCAGAGGGTTTTCTGAAGAGCTGATGGAATTCCCTGTTTACTAAAGCTTCTGTTTCTTAGACTCTGAAGCAGAAAGTGACGTTTGACAGCATCCGGTCTTAATGGGTCAAAGGAGAGCATAACGCACTCACTCTAAAGGCCTCGGCCAGTGGGAAGTGTCCTGCGTGTCTGGCAGGTCACTCCGAGGGGAAATAAAAACACAATGATTGTTTCCACAGTGTAATATATGAGTCGTTGAAGTAACGCTGGTGTCTCGTCCCCTGCAGCCTCTCATCGTTGTCGCCAACAAATGTGATGTTAAGAAGATCAGTGAGATTTCTGAGGAGAATCAGGTGAGTGGAGTTTCTTTCACAGATGAAGAATGAAGCAGTATATTCTCTGGTCTGCAGGAGAAACTCGGTGCATGTTAAAAAGCGGTTCTATTATCAAAGCTGCATTTTTGACATTTTGCTTTTTGTCAGAAAATCTTTGCGGACCTCTCTGCTGATGGAATCCCTGTGATCGAGACCAGCACCCTGACCGAGGAGGGAGTCATGCAGGTTAAAAATGAGGTGGGTTCCAGAGAACGTGGAGCTTGTTTGGGTTTGAAAGGAATATTGTGTTTTGTCGTGAGCGAGCGTGTTGTGATTCACGTTTCTGTGTGTGTGTCAGGCCTGCGACCGGCTCCTCGCCCATCGCGTCGACACCAAGATGAAGGGAAAGAAGGTTCACGATGTTCTCAACCGGCTCCACCTGGCCATGCCTGCCAAGAGAGATGAGAAGGTACGAGTTCGGCAAATTGAATTATACGAGGTTAAATTTACAAAAATGTTTCTTTAATGTTCCTTGATGTCGATAAAACATTTATTTTATATTTTGTCTTTTGTCTTCTTCAGGAGAGGCCTCCGTTCATCCCAGAGGGAGCCTTGATGCGCAAGAAAGCAATGGAGGTGGATGCACCCAAACGCAAACTGGTATGAATTCTGGTGACTTTAGGCAAATGGTCAAATAGTTAAATATAATTAAGTACTATATATAAGTACAATGAAAAGTACAAGATTACTAGTTTTGGTACTTTACAAGTATATTCCGATAGAAATACTGTTGCATGAGGTTTACACTGTGGTATTACTACGTCCTCTGGATTTGATTAAAAGTGACAGTTTATTTTATCCTTCATGTCACAGGAGAGAGATCTGGAGATGGAGCTTGGTGATGACTACATCCTGGACTTGCAGAGTAAGATGTGTTTTTATTTCCATACTCCTGCAGCCACTGTGAATTTATCAGAAGTAAATTCTTATGTCTGCAATGGCAATATTTTATTTGTGTTTTAAGAATACTGGGATCTGATGAACGAGGATGAGAAGCAGGACAAGATCCCTGAGGTCTGGCAGGGCCACAACATCGCAGATTACATCGATCCTGACATCATGAAGGTGAGTCGCTGCACCAAAGATGGACGACGTGTCTCCATTTTGCGCTTTTGGAGTCCGAGTCTGTGCGGCAGTGATCGTGGAGAGGAGCCACAGTATTTAAGTCCTGCTGATACACATGCTCGACCTATCACGAGTCCGTCTCGACTGTCAATCATGACGTCTCAGCCTCTGTTTTAAAATCATTTAAATAACAAATTAAAAGCAAACGAATCTTAAATAACTACCCAAATAAAGGTGTGACAAAAAAAAACACTTCTTTCCCTCCTCACTTACAGAAACTGGAGGACCTGGAGAAGGAGGAGGAGCTGAAGGAGCGAGCTGGAGAGTACGACTCTGACGAGGAGAGCGAGGACGAGGAGATGCAGGAAATCCGCGTTCTGGCCAAACAGATCCGCGAGAAGAAGCAGCTCATGGTCATGGAGTCAAAAGAGAAGGATGTGCACGGGCCTCGCATGCCCAGGACCGCTACCAAGGTGAGGGGGGGTGATTCAACTCTTGTACATCAGAACTTGGTTTAAAGTACTGATCTGGAAATTGACATGTGTAATAAAAATGTTTTATAGGCAGGCACCATGTTGTGTTTAAATTTGGAAAGGCTGGATATTGGAAACAAGAGTTTGCAGCCTGAAATTATATCAATCTTTAAAATATCTTAAAAAACATTTAGTCCAGGCTCCTTAGAGCAGCGTCGGCATTTAGAACAGTAACGGTTGAAAGAGTAAAGCGTGCAGCTTGGACGGTTCCAGCAGATCAACAGACAAATTGTGTGTTTACAGGTTGAAAGAACAAAGCTCGAGAAGGAGATGGGTGACCTCGGTCTGGACATGAACCACAAGGAAGACGTAAGTTCTGTTTTCAAATCAGAACCTATAATATAATTTTAAAAAATCCCAATTTCCTGTGGAAATATGACATATTACAGTTTTTTAGTCCGTCTAAAGTTTAAATGAAATCATTGTGGAATTTTTAATATAATAATTTTAATAATTAATAATAAATCATAACATTTCATGTTGAATGCCTGAAACCTGCTGTGTGCAGGGACACTTTATATTTTACTTTCATGACACAGTTCATTGTTTTGTTTCAGAGCCACTATGTACAACAGGCCCGACGGTCCCGCAGTGTCACTAAGAAACGTAAACGTGAAACTTCAGTCGCTCCCATCTCCAAGACCCGCAGCCAGAGCGCCTCCCGTCCCCCTCGAGACCAGTCTGGAATAAGAGACCCAAAGGTATGTGAATGTGTCTTTATTCTACTTTTATTTATCAAAGATCATTTTTTGTGTTTAGACTTAAGATGTTTTTGTTTGGATACCAGTATGATTTAAATTAAAGTAATAATGTGTTTGTGTGTCTGGTTTATTTCCTCCTCATCCTCTTTTTGCTGTTAATCTAGTGAGGTTTATGTATGAGGGGTTGTCTTTAATTTAGACATGTGTAATTTATGTTTCTACAGAGAAACATTCATGTGTACATAAACTGTAATCAGCACATTCAGGACTCACTAATGTGCATTTTAGCCACGTGCTGTAAAGTGTGTAGAAACAGCATTGGATTAAAGAAATCTGAAGTTCTAAAAGCAAATTTCAAACTGAACTCATGTCTGAATGTTTGTCTTTGTTCATTCCTCAGATGGCAAAGAAGGCAAAGAAAATGATGAAGAACTCCCAGAAAGACATGAACCGCCAAGGCAAGAAGGGAGAGGCAGACAGACACGTGTTTGACCTCAAACCCAAACACTTGCTGGCTGGGAAGAGGAAGTCAGGCACCAATGATCGCAGATAAAGCTGCGTTGTTCTGGACTGATAAAGACCTTTCCACTCTTTGGGCCAGGAGAGGCTTGTGTGGGGACATAGTATTTATGTCTGTCATTCTATCCATTTTACCCAGAGCTAAAGAGAACCTGAAATATATTTACTTTTAACAAAGGAAACTGGTCTTCAGTGGAAGGTCAAGCTGCTGAGGAAATATGCCAACCCTCTGAGATGATTAGAAATTACAATATTGCGTCTTTGTTTGTCAGCTCAAACTAAATTAACCACACAGACATAAACTATCACGGAGCCTCAAAAACTATTAATTTAGGTGATGCAGTTGCCACGGTCTAATCTGGATCCTGATTAACAGTACTTAACTTAAATATCCAGTTATTTCACCTTTTTCTTTGCAATAGTGAGTTCAAGTCAGATTTTATGCCATGTAGTTTGTATGTGGCTCTGGAAAATGCTGGGTTTACTTCAGATGAAGTGATGCTCCTTCCTTTACGAGTACTAATCAACACGGGAGCCAAATAAATGTACACCTGAACGAGATTCTGTTGTCTGACTTTTTATATAATTCATTTACACTATAGTGGGCTTTTATCTTGAAAAGCCAAGGCCCTGCCTGGAATTCACCTGGTTGTGTTTTAACACTCGAGTTGACTCAGGGTCAAATACACAAACCTGGTAAAGTGTGAGTTGAGTTTTATTCACGTATCACCTCTTTAATTCAGCATGAGGTTCAAAACATTCAGAAGAACCAGTTTTAATAGTGCAACTACATGCACGGACACTTAAAGGTTCAGTGTGTGGAATTTAGTGACATCTAGTGGTGAAGTGTCATGTTGCAGCTGAACACCCCTTGACTCACCCTCCCCTTCCAAACACGAGAACATGTGGAAAACTTCAGTCGTCATAGAAACTCAAAAGGTTTAGTTTGTCCAGTTTGGGCTACTGTAAAAAAAAACATGGCTGCCTCCATAGAGAGGGTCCATTGTTGGGTAAAGAAAACAATCTGTGCAGCTGAGATGATTAAACACAGAGATCATCACTGGATTTATTTCATATTCAATATCTGCCCAAAACGTGCTTTCACTTAAATCTTACACACTTTAAACGTTTTAGATTCAATTCTTATTTAAAATCTCAGTTGGTATTTTTTTTTTTCGTGTGCCGAATTTTAGTGAAGCCTCCCTTTGTGTGTAAAACCTCCTTAAAAGTAAATTGTGATCCGCGCCTGCGCGTGATAATAACCGACAAGCCGAGACTCGGACACTATTTGAATGGAGTCCGGTTCGAGGCGAGGGCAAATAAAAAGCTGAGCCGGGCTTTTATTGCGAAGGAGCCGGAATTAGCTTCGTTATCTGTCTCGCACGTAGCGGGGCTCGTCAACACGGACTCCGGAGAAAACCGGTCCGTCTCCCCGGTCCGAGAACATGTGAGGAGGAGGCGACACCTCCAGAAACTAACGGGGAACCAAACCGTGTGTTCGCCGGCTGTTCCGGTGAGTTGACTCCGCGTGCGTGCCCGGTTGTCCCAACCGTTAGCCTGTTAGCAGCTAACGGCTAGCTTGGCTTAGCTTGTGCCGAGCATCGTCTCGTCTTCTCCCTCACGCTCAGGGTCGGGCCGACTTTTAGTTCTCCTCCGCCGTGAAGGTGTAGAGGTTGTCTCCCGGTTGTCTCCCGGTTCCTCCCGGTGTCAGGAGGAGGAACCCACCGGCTCAGAGGAGCAGAGATGAGAGCAGCACCGGAGGCTGCAACACACCTGCTGTGTTTACATGTTCCACAACAACACACTGATCTCACACATGACAGCTGCAACAACACGGACCCACAACACGGACCCACAACACGGAGGGGACAGACCCGTGTCCCTGTGAGGCCGCACCAGGGGCCACCGACCTGTCCGAGACCGAGAGCTGCTTCATGGGCACTGAGTCACACGAAGGGCCGCCACTTAGATCCAGTGTTCTGAAATAACACACGTGCTCAGTTTGCCTTTAGTGACATGTTATTATTCGTGAGAAGTGATGCTCATGTTTGTAGAGACACTGATCACGTTCAGGATCTCTCACAGTAATTATCAACGATGACTGAACAAGGTGGGAAACAGATGATATCAGGATTCAACACTTTATTTCTATTGATCTCAGCAAGTGTTTAAATTCTCAGACGATCACATCAACAACATTTCATAAGTAAAATGTTCCATTGACGAGCCACCGACCAACCCAGTTAACAAATCATAGTCAAGAGTCATTATGACAAAGTTTGACAGTATAAAAAATAAATAATTACATTTATTTAGAAACGCATATCAAATTTTAGACGCAGCTCACTGGTGATTTTATAGAACAGGCTTGCGGGCGACTCATGTGGTCCTTGGGGGCCTCGCCTCGGTGACCCCTGGTCTAAACACTTCAGTCATCTCCAGGAAAACATCTCACTAAACGAGCTCCTTGCAGCCTGAGAGCTGCTGACATAAAATATTTATTATTTTATCAAATTGATACGAATTGTAAGTGGATCGATGGTGGAAAGAAAACTTGAATTTGCGCCATGCAAAAATATGAGGTGACCTTTGACCCCTAACATCGAGGTCATCTTTTAATCCAAGTGACAACTGGTCAGAATGTGACGAAATTCCCCAAAAGGCGGACTAGAGGTCACCTTGACCTTGACCACCAAATTTTAATCAGTTCATCCTTGAGTCTGAGTGAACGTCTTGAACAAATTTGAACGGATTCCCTGGAGGCGTTTGTGAGAAATCACGTTCACAAGATGTAATAATAGTAATAACAAGCTCCTCTGAATGATCTCTGAAGTACAGCAACTAGAATTAATTTGTAATTCATCAAAAGGCCCAACACTTATTTCCCATCGGTTCAAATATTGATAGAGATAATGAAGTTTCTTTTCATTCATCTTAAAGATGAGTCGATCTGTCGATTAAATAATCTGCAAAGATTTAAATCGTCCAAGTCATCTTTGACATTTTGTTCCTCAAGATTTCACTGGTCACAGCCTCATAAATATTCGCTGTGAGTAAACTGAATACTTTGGTCAAACAAGAGTTTTTGAAGTAAGAAGTAAGTTTCAGTAAATCAGCTTCTCATTATTGACACGTTTCATATTGAATGGCATTTTAAACTATATTGCTAAAGACAGTAAATATTCAGGTCTTTTGAATTCTTGACAAAACTGTTTTCACCTGCCAGCTTTATTTAGACCATTTTTGTTTTGTCTATGCAGTTCACTTCAAAAGACTTTATTGTCACTAGCACAACGAAATGGGAGCAGAGTCCTCCTCCTCGATGCCAAACATACAATTATCAAGACACAGTCCACTACACAAATTTAAATAAAAACAAGGGGATTCAAGGACCAAAGGCATTTAAAGATGTGGATATACTATACAAATAAATAATGTATGATAATGTACCGATGCATACAGTTTTAATGCAGAAGTGTTATATTGCACCGTTAAAAAACAGAACAAGTGTTTTATTAAGTGGCAAACTACAGAATAAATACTATATACCGATAGTGTACCGATATAACTGGATAATATACATAAGTGTTTTATTGCACCGATGATGCTCCGAAAGTGTTTATTGCACAGAAAAGAAAAGGGTTGAAAGTCCCACAGTGTTATTGCAGCTGAAATGACACATGATGGAGTCAGATATTTACATTTGCAGTTAACCTATAGTGTCTCTCTCATACTTATTCTGTTTGTATTTCTACGCTGCCAAATTCAGCCCCTGCCAAGTAAAGCGTGGCTGCCGTCGTTTGAGTTGACGATTTGTTCTCTTGACCCTTTGGTGACCGTCTTTCCTGCGGTTTTTACACTTTCAGACTGTGGTCACACACGGATAGGAAGGAGGGATGCCGGTGGAGAGTGGGAACAGCGCCGCCGCCCGCCAGGCCAAGCAGAAGAGGAAGTCCCACAGCCTCTCCATTCGCAGGACCAACAGCACCGAGCAGGAGCGATCAGGCCTGCAGAGAGAGATGCTGGAGGGACAGGTGATGAGAATTCACGAGATTAAAAACAAAGAACGAGTTTAAAGCTAGGCTACGCTCTCTCACCATCCTGCAAGGATCTTGTTCTTTTAAAACAAGTTTATTTATCAAAGCATGAAGAAGATAAGAAGTGTTTCCGTAACCGCTCACCATCCCTACATTTAAATTATCAAGCGTCGAAGTAATAATCAGTAAAACCAGCAGCCTGTATTTCCAGCTGCTGCTCCTCCCCAGTCTGTTCATCATTAGCTGTCCTGCTGTTGCTGTCAGCACCAGAAAGCTGAAGCCATTTAGGATTTAATGCACCCGTTCATCAGGCTCATCATGGTTTTTATTGTTGTGGCTTATCCATGCCACAGTTTTACACTGTGCTCAAAAGACGTGGGTTCAGAACAAGTTTAATTAATTTCACTTCACTCAGGTGGATTTCTAAATTTCATCGGCCAACTAATGAGGAACTGAAGTACTTCCGGGCTGCTGTGTGAACTCGGTTACCTGCAGCTAATTATCTGAAGAGACAGGAACAATGATTGAGACACTGAATTTAGAAACGTGTGAGAGCCCCCGGACATTCTCAGGAGTATCTCTGGAGTTTGTCCGGCCCCCAGGATTCACAGCGAGCGAGCGGGCATGGTTGATGACATTTCTAAAAAGTGACAGACGCAAAAATGAAAAACTATTTCAGTGTTTTATTAATTATTGAAGCACCTGTTCTCTATGTACAGATTAATCATTTCAATGTTCTGAATCAATTCTTATTTTGAAGTTCATCTGGTATTTGTTCATGAAGACAGGTAGTGTTTCTGTTGAAGCCTCCAACACGTATGTGCTCTGTCAGGATTCATAGCATCAAGCACTAGTTTCACTAGTTTCAGACCGACGCAGTCTTTACTTTCCTGTTTCCTGTCCCAGACTCTATGAGTGTGGAAGCTGCATTTGCGATGTAGCCTAGATAATAAATAAATAAGCACACAGTCACTGTGAGAGGAGCTGGATTTCTATCTGAACGCTGCACAAACAGTGTAATCCCTTTTTGTTTTTCACTCTGGTCCTTTTTGGTCCCAGTCCTCTGATAATCTGGAGTCTTTCATGAGAATGGAGGTAAGTTTAAGGTGTTGGGTCCCCGTGTTTGAGACACAAGTGTCACTCCCCTCATAGTTTTTAAAGCTAGCTTGTAGCTTGGTATAGTTTAGGTTGGATTAGTTTTTAGTAATTGTTTTTTGTGTGGTGGGGATTTCACCTGTTTGAATCAGAAGCTGAGTTTCCGCTTCACTCAGTAGCTGCTGATCGATTCACAGCGTCAAGGTCTCCTTCAAATGCGGCTGACAAATGCATCCTTTCCATTTCCTCCAGAACAGTTTCCAGTTTAATAATTTTATCTTCCAAGGACAATTCAAAGCTCCGATAAGAAACTGTGTCACCCATGAGTGCAAATGTTTCTCCGGTTCCTCAGTCTACCAGATCTGTTTTCAACAATCTCTACTTTGTTTAATTGTCCCTTGTCTGTGTTGATGTGCTTTATTTGTATAATTTTGTAACCTTGAAATGTTGTGCTGTCTCTGCCAGGCCTCCCTTGAAAATCTCAAGTGACTTCCTGGTTAAATAAAAGACCCAGTCAGCCTCAGATTAAAGCTACAGCCGTGCTACTGCGACGACTGTGTTCACACGAGCGCTCTGGCTTTGTTTGACTTTGAGTTTTCAGATAAAAAAAAGTAGCAGTGTGGCTGTAGCCTAAAACACCTGTATACTCAGCGATTGAACTGAAACACTGATCCGCCGCTCACCTCCTCAGGGGTGATCCATGTCTTTCCACGCCGTTTACGCTTCCCCCTGTTCTCTAACCTGCAGGACTCCAAACTGCCTCTGTCTCTGAGGAGCAATCTTCTGGACCTGTTCAGCCAGATCGAGAGGGAGTTTGAAAACCTCTACATAGAAAACCTGGAGTGTAAGTTATCTTAATAAAAAAAACAGTGCAACAGGAAGCTTCTCGTTTCTGGTTAGTCTCTGCTCTTCAGTCATTCTTAACACGTGACCCGTCCACTCCTCAGTACGCAGAGAAATCGAAACGCTGAACGACCGATTGGCTGCAGACGGACAGACTTTCGAGGGGGCGGATTTAGCCAAAGGAGCACTTAAAACAAAAGGTGAGTATCACTCCACCTTCCTATTATCCTAAACAGTGCATGTGTCGTGAAATGTAAACGGTATCTGTGTTACTGCACCTTTTTCTTTTATTAATTGTGATTTCTCTCACATTAACTCACAGCGAGTCATAGCACAAGTCAGCTGTCACAGAAACTGAAGACGACCTACAAGGCTTCCACAAGCAAAGTAAATGATTCATTCTTCCTTTTCGTGCAGTGGAATGAAGATTTATTTATCATTTAATATTATTATTATATATTTATCAGTAGTTTAAGTTTGCTTGTGTCAGTGTCAGTCCTGCAGTGATGTTCTTTGTGGTGTTGATCCTCTGTTCTGCATTAGAGTAGAGACTGACCGATGAGGATTTTTGAGATTTGAGATTTTAAAATTAAGCAATTGTTCACTCTTATAACAAAGAAATTGAATTGATATTTTACAGTTTCACCATAAACTTACTTATAAAAAGATACACAACATAAATCAACCAAATATATATATATAGAACATGAATTTAGAAAATCATCATAAAACTTTATAGAAACTATTTCTGCCATATTTTATATATATAGTGAAAATAAAAGTTTCCATATCAGCAAACGTAAACGCATCACTCAGTTGATGAATCGCTCAGGCTCTATAGATATTCAGTTAATTCTTATCGATGTAAATGTGGGGTGGAAAAACAATAGCACTGTGTCCATGCAGTGCAGCAGAGAAAATGTTAATTTACAGAATACAAAATGGTTTAATGGGTTAAATTGGCCTCATTGTTTTTCAGTCACGTCTCTTCTGAATGTTTAAGAGAAGAACTGCTGTCTCTCTCTCACCTTTTTGCTCGTAGCCACGTTCAAATTCTTGCCACGCCAGAGTAGGCGGAACCCGCAACTTCAGCGTAACCGGTTGGGAGTTGTGGGGTGGAGACTCATGGGTATTATTTCTTATTGACGATTTCTCCCCCTTGTGTGCCAATATGCATGAACAGCCCAGCCAGGGGGTCGACTCTCCCTCCCCAAGAGACTTGGTCATTCAAATGTAGGAGTTCGAGCTCTTTGTTTGTGTGTGAGATAAAACATGACTTCATTATCTCACTAACAGACTTTTTCAGTTGCTCCTTTCATTTTGATTGAGCTACTCGTTGGCATTCACATAATGGTACACTCTGGAGACATCTCTAGTTTGCCTTTATTAATATAATACTCATGTAGGAGGAGCATTTGCTGACTGCTTTAGATCGTTGCTTAATTTTGACGAGCGTGTCGTCTGCTCATCAGTGCTTGGCCGTATCAGATTTTGCTTCCTTGATTTCTTCTTTGGCTGTTGACAGAATTTAATCAGATATCACCACACATCACATTTTATTTTCTGGACTTTCATCTTGAAATTAAAACGGCGCTCAGTAGAGCACATTCCTCCGCCACGACCCAACAGTGCCCTCTAAGCTGGGAGTTGTTGTCGTCACCATTGTCTATGAAAGTTTACCTGACCTGACTCGGACACAGATCATGTTCACAGATGAGGTAAAGTTTGATTCATGTTATGCAGCAGTTGATTATGAATAAATATACAACATACAGTTGTTTTTAATCAGGTTAAGTTTTCATCAGCGTTTGTTTCTTCGTCTGTTAGTTCACAGGATGTGTGAGATCGGGTGTTTTTTTTTTTTTAATTTCCACAATCGTCCCCAGGAAATGATTAATGGATCTTGATTGAAAAAAAGCAACCACATCCAGAGGAGTGATATTTATGAGTGTGTGGAATCGAAGGAGACTGATGGGTCTTGGCAGAGGAATGTGCTCGATTACGCAAAAACGTATTGAACACGTTGCTGTTACCAGCTCACTTACGTCAATTTAGCCTCTTTTCTATCACCCAGAAAACAAGTTGTTTTTGAGAATCCACAGAATCGATTTACTGTAAAACAAGTACACTCCTGATGTGGCTCTCGCAGACTGCACGCTGAAGGCCCGACCTGTAGGGCTTCAACCGCAGGGTGCGTTAGATTCGCTGTTCATACTGTTACTTTGAGCTTATTCTGCGGCGCTTCATGTTTTCCTTGAACCTCCCGGTCCCTCTTGCTTCCTTGTTTAGCGTAACACGAACGCATCCGTGTTACGCTAAACAAAGTTCTGGATTCATCATCATTCTCAGCACAGCAGGAAACACTCAAGTTAAGGCCTTTGCACATCATCGGCGCCACAAATAAATGACGTGAAATTGCGAATTGAATTGAAAAAAAATTACAAATAAACTTTCTATCAGACTGGATAGATGAGAAAGTTGTTGTTGTTCTTCTGCTTCCAAATGTGAGGTTGTCAAACAACTCGCTTTCTGGTTGCATCTGTTCCGCGTTGGAAGCAAAACACTGGAAAGATTGAGAGCAAAGGAAGTCTGCAATAAAGCTTCCTCTGTCTGGATTCAGGTTCCAAAAAATATTAATAACTGCAAATGAATCGAAGGAGAAGAAATGTGTCTCGTGTGCAGAGTCCTTCACTGATCCTGGGTCAGCACTTCACTCATTTTTACACCATCAAACAAACCAACTGCAAACCTTTGAAAAATCATGCTTTGTGGAATATATATATATATATAAAGAACAAGATGGGACACATGCTTGAAATGGTAATCTAGTGCCAATCTATGCTAACAACCAGCCACCCCCCCCTGTCAGTCGTTGATTTCATGTCTTTGGTTAAACAGATGATCTTCAGAAGTTCTTCAGATGAATGATCTGTTCTCTATGCTCTCCTGCTTCCTTTCAGTTGGAACTTATTTAGCGGCCTCTGTCCGAAACGAACCAAGGGTCCAGTTTGTATCATCCCTATCTTCAATGTAAACACCTTGACCAGACCTTGAGTCGACTGATAATAATCACTGGCCTTTTCTTTTTGTTCCGTAACTCCGTATTTTTTGACCCCTTCAGATTTTTTATTGCAGCTCTGCACTGACAGTAATCCTGGTGTGACAGAAGCAGTGTCTGCACTGTGTTGATACCAGATCTGGGTCGATGGTCAGCGGTGGTGTTTGTTTTAAGCTTAAAACAAACACTGTACCGACAAAGATCTTTTGGTAAAACCTCTTGAACCCAGGACTGATATAAATAACGCTGTAATAAGCCAAAGCTTCTTAGCCCTGGCATACTACAAGGACCCTGCTGAGCAGCTCCTCAGTGATCCTCAGTTCTGCTTCCTCCCTCTGTCAGACCAGGGTTCCTACACAGCTCTAGAGAAGTCTGGGAAATGTAAATCCAAGTCCTTCATATTTTAACGACTCAAATAGCATCAATGAAATAGTTTAATAGTTTAAGTGTTATTGATTTGAGAGATATTTGTGTGTATTCTGTAGTCTGTGGTCCTACTGTCCCCAAATATACATTTACACTCTTCAATTCTACTATGAAAAACTGTCAAAGTCATATTTAAGAATCACAGTCAAGTCGGTCTTTGCTCGCACACAAACCAAAAGACGAGGAGGATTTACAACGTGTAGGAACCCTGGAGCTGGGATTTGTCTCTTTGGGTGTTTGTGTGTTAACTTGACTTTGGTGTCGCTGTCAGATTGTGTCCAGTTTCAAAGCGACCACGTCCAGAGCGATCTGCCAGCTGGTCAGGGAGTACGTCGGCCACAGAGATGGCATCTGGGACCTCAGCGTCACCAGGACACAACCTGTGGTGCTGGGTACAGCCTCTGCAGGTATGTCACTCATTTTATTTATTTTTAGTTTCCCGTACACCTTGTGAATATCATATAAATCTCTTATCGAACACCGACGCCTCAGTTTCTTCTCTCTGTCTCTTTGTTTTTTGCAGCGTCTATATAGTTTAAAATCTAAACCCTGAACATCTTTAATCTAATTTGACCTATTGGCAATACATGCCATTGCTTTTACACGTTTACCCTCCATCAGAAATGAGCAGCAAATGAGTTATTTTTCATTTATATTGTTTTCCAACAGACCACACTGCGATGCTGTGGAGCATTGAAACTGGGAAGTGCCTCCTCAAATATCTGGGTCATCAAGGATCAGGTAAAGTTTAGATTTGAGGTAAAGTTATGAGAATAGTTGTAATCAGAACCCCTCAACTTCATGTCTGTCCCCGTCTCCACAGTCAACTCCATCAAGTTCCACCCCACTGAACAGATGGCTCTAACAGGTAATGAAGGATCCTAAATGACCAGTGTGGTTTCAAACACACTGGACATTTTCTGAACATTTATTTTCTGCAAAATCCCAAATATGAGCTATGCAGAACCTCCTGGCGTCGAAAGTACGAATCACAAATGATCATCTTTGCCTCTCGTCTCTTCTCCGCAGCCTCCGGAGACCAGACAGCTCACATCTGGAGGTACATGGTTCAGCTTCCGACTCCACAGCCTGTTGCTGATATGAGCGTGAGCATCAACCGCACTACAGCCTCTTGTGTTTGTGTCGCTGAGTTCCTCCGAGTTTCTGTCGTTGAAACGTCTTGATCCCGTCACATTTGTCCTTCGTATGTCCCTTCCCCCGACAGCAGCAGACACCCTGCGAAGACGACGTGGACTTTTCAGATAAAGATGAGGCCGACGGCGAAGTCGAGGGTCCGAACGATTGTCCCTCTGTCCGCGTGGCGACCACCACTCTGCGAAGCCATCAGGGCGTGGTGATCGCTGCTGATTGGCTGGTGGGGGGCAAACAGGTGGTGACGGCGTCCTGGGATCGAGCCGCCAACTTGTACGATGTGGAGACGTCAGAGCTGGTTCACTCACTCACTGGTAGGATGAAGGAAGATATAAAGTTATGTTTGGAAGTTTTGTGAAGAATTAGAACATTTGTTTGACGGAACAAAAATAATTCTAAAATGCAACACAGCTACTGGAGTAGTTCAACTTGTGAACCAGCAGAGGGCACAATAATAACCCCCACTAATTACAGGGTTGTCAGAGACGCAACAAAAGCTAATTATTGTGTGTGTGTGTGTGTGTGTGTGTGTGTGTGTGCGTGTGCGTGCGTGCGTGCGTGTGAAGGTCATGACCAGGAGCTGACCCACTGCTGCACACACCCCACCCAACGTCTGGTGGTCACCTCGTCCAGAGACACCACCTTCAGACTGTGGGACTTCAGAGATCCATCCATCCACTCTGTCAACGTGTTCCAGGGACACACTGAGTCAGTCTCTCTCACACACACACACACACACACACACACACACGTGACATGTATGTGAGTATTAGTATGGATAAACAGACAGACGAGGCTTCATCGATGTTGTATTTGCATTTTTACTGAGAAGTTTTTTTGTCTGAAGTTAAAATAAAGAGGAAATAAAACATTTCGGATTCAGTCGTGGAAGTCCAGGTCGCCTGCTCCTTCCTTTACCCCCGGTTCTGTTTCTAACCTGTGTCCTCGTGGTTTGCAGCACGGTGACGTCCGCTGTGTTCACGGTGGGAGACAACGTGGTGTCTGGGAGCGACGATCGAACCGTCAAAGTGTGGGACTTGAAGAACATGAGGTCGCCCATAGCAACCATCCGCACCGACTCGGCTGTCAACAGGTCTCGTTCATACACAAACTCACCGTGGATGATTTTTACACAGATAATTAAACAGAAGATTTGAGGAGAACGTGTCTGAAAAACTACATTTAACTCCTCGTAACTCTGGTGTCCGTCCTGTTCAGGATCAGCGTGTCGGTGAACCAGAAAATCATCGCTCTTCCTCACGACAATCGGCAGGTCCGACTGTTCGACATGTCCGGGGTGCGACTGGCTCGACTCCCGCGGACCAACAGACAGGTGAGTCGGTGGAGGAGACACACACAGACACACACACACACACGAGTGAACTTATTTTACACAGCAAACATCTCCTCAGAAATGAATGTAGAAAGTAAAAGTCATAAATTCGGACACTGGGAATAAATCGTTAGATTACTGTCTCGATTGTCTCGCAGTGCTTTGCTCGTCCTTGTCCTCAGTGTTTAACAGTTGCTGTGTTGTCTGTCGCTGATCAGGGTCACCGGCGCATGGTGTGCTGCTCCGCCTGGTGTGAAGACAACGCCTCCTGCAACCTGTTCAGCTGTGGCTTCGACCGGCAGGCCATCGGCTGGAACATCAACATCACCGCCCTGCTGCAGGAGAAGTGACCTCCACCTGTGAGCTCACAGTGACTCCACCCAAAGTTTGTGGTGTTTGGAGACAGTGACCTGTAAACTGAAAAGGCGGCTGTCAAAGGTTTAGTGTCTCTCCTGCTTTTGTGTGTGAGAACTGAACGTAATTCGAGCAACGACTCGATGGAAATGACTCCTCACAGCCATCTTTTCAAGCCTACAGATACTCCATGCTACCTGGGAAGGGAGGGAACCGAGGACTTGCGCTAGCTGACCTCTGCATCTGTCGCAGTCTCGAAATCACAGCCACGGAAAACAACGGTTTGTTTTCTGTGTGGAAACGATTCCACGTCATTCACAAACAACAAAAACCCAAACTGATGAGAAAACCAACGAGTTAATTTAAAGTTTATTTCTGGAGTTAATATTCGATGACTGGTTGATTTGAACTTTTCCTTCCAAGTTTAATTCCAAAATGTTCTGTGTGGCACCTGAGATTCACAGCGTAATATTTATAATCCACATTTTGCTAAAAGCTTAGAAATGTGTTAACGCACATTTAAAAAAAAAATACCAGTAGCTGTTACAGTTTTTCTTGTTGAACACAAGAAGAGAAGAGAAATTACACTTCCCTCCTTTAAGTGACTGATGATGGACCTGACATTTGTCTGGTTCTTCTTAAATTTAACAAAATGTTTATTAGGTCATTTCAGACTGTGATTAAAGATGGACGACCCTTCTCCACCAGGGTGCCGCCATCTTGGGTTCAATCATGACGTCTCAGCACGTTTTAATACCTTCAACTGATCGAACATCAGAGCGATTAGAACTTCCTAAAATGACAGGAACCAAAATTTTAACTTTTAAAATTAAAACATCTGGGCAGGCGTCTCGTCGTAGTTGACGATATCAACATGATCAGAAAGTAGCAGTGATTCGTTTTTTAGCAGATGTGTGGAGAATGAAATGCTGTGTCAGGTGGAGGACGGTAGATTTGTTCAGGACTTCAACTAACAAAAATAACACATTTTATAATTTAATCAAAACTAATTTCTCTTCACAAA